ACGGGGTTTCACCATGTTGACCAGGATGGTCTCGATCTCTTGACCTCGTGATCCACCCGCCTCGGCCTCCCACAGTGCTGGGATTACAGGCTTGAGCCACCGCGCCCGGCCATGAATTCCTGTATTTTTTATTTTTCTCTCATCGTATATAGGTTTTCTTCTCTGTTAGGGTTGTTCCTTTTGTTCACCTAATGCACTGAACTTGAAGAGCCACTTCCTTTGTGAAGCCCTTAGTCACCTGCCAGCACAAGGTTGGTATTCCCTCTTTTGTGCTGCAGTACCTACACTTAAAATCATTATCTTTCACATTTAAAAATAATATTTTACAGAATTACCTCACCATTCCTATCTCTATGCATCCCTGGAGGGCAGGGACTGTTAGGTTTGTCAACACCTAATGTGTATTGGTTGAATGTTGAATGAGTTGTTAATACCCTTTTGCTATAGAAGATAGGCATTTTACAGTAAGGTTTTGCAGTATTAACAATGGCACTGGCCAGGCACAGTGGCTCACTAGCACTTTGGGAGAACAAAGCAGGCAGATCACCGGAGGCCTGGAGTTCAAGCCTGGCCAACATGTTGGTGAAATCCCGTCTCTACTAAAAATACAAAAAAAATTTCTGGGTGTCGTGGCTGGCGCCTGTAGTTCCAGCTATTTGGGAGTCTGAGGCCGGGGAATCGCTTGAACCTGGGAGGCAGAGATTGCAGTGAGCCAAGATCACACCACTGCTCTCCAGCCTGGGTGACAGAGCAACACTTCATCTCAAAAATAAAAATATTCAGAACAAAACATTCAATGGCAGTATATATCTGGACACCAAACGGAACACATTGGCCTTTGTGGAGACAAATACAATCATGTCTTTATTAAAATACCACACTTAGCCCAGCTGAACCCATAACCATAGCCTGACTGGGGCATAAGAACATTAAAGCACGTTCTGTGTGGTGTAAAACCATAATACTTCAGATACAGGTATGTAATTAATTGCAGAGAATGAGGCAGCATGGTATTTGATAGATTAGACAGACAGACAGGGCTTCAAAGGAGGTATGTACCCAGAAGACCTAGATGAGATTGCCTGCGTTGTCACCACCATCTCTGGGCTTCTCATATCATTTTCTTATTTGTGAAATTATTTTGAGATAACTTCTTGAATATATGAGCAAGTGCATTGAAATTGAGAAAGCAACAAAGTAGACGTGTGAACTGTAGTGAAACCTAACGAATTCTAAGTTTGGATTGTTGAGGGGTTTCTTTCACTTCTCTTGTCAGTCAGAGAGACTAATACATAAAGTCTGTCATATAGTGGATATTCAGTAAATGTTTGTTGAACCAATGAAATAAGTGAAATTCCAAGATACAATTAACAGGATTATTGATTGGGTTGAATTGGGACTCAAAAAGAGTAGTCTAGGCAAAAGGTGCCTCTGGAGAATGTCTAGAAGTGCCAGTACTACACAGGAATGGATTGTGCAGCTAATTAAAACCTTAGATATGACCTGTAGTGCATTGTGGGAACCCAAGCTGATACTTCCAAGGATGCTGTACTTTGATCTGATGCAGAAGGTGGGATACCTACCATTTGCTGAATGACCATTATATGCCAGACCAAGTACAAAGCACCTTATAGATGATGTTTATCTTTACAGCAGCTGAAGACACCTATTTTTACAAAACCCCATTTAAAAGATGAGGATAGAAATAAGCCATCCAGAAAATACATAGAAAGTAGTATGTACAGTAACTTAAGTTGCAGAGGAAGGAGTTAGTGACATGGAAGCGGGGTGGGGGGTGGGGGGGTAGAGGGAGGAAAGAGGGAGGGATGCTAGTTGTGTTGTAAGTGTTGCCCTTCACACTGGATCTCTCAGACTTTGCCTTTACAGATTTGGTGGGGAACAAAGGTGAAGCTGGTTTTCTTTCTTTTGGAAACAGTTGTTTTTGTTTTAACTATTTACCGAAGGATTTAGTTAGACTTTTAAGTTCGTTCTGTTACATTGAACATTGGTCATACCATGAGGAAGGATCACACTTGATAATGCATGTTACCTATTTTTAAAAGATCAACTGATGAATGAGTGGTGGCAATGTATTGTAAAGGTTCTGAATTTGTGGAGGAAAATAACAATTACATTCTCTTGAAAGTAAAACTAAGAATGCTGCAGTAATTTAACTTCCCATGTCAATGAGTAATTTAACCATATTAACCACCCAAAGAAATAATGAAAATAAAACTTTTATCATTCAAATATTTGGCTGTACACGTTATATCTGTTGTTTTACATTTCAAAGCTACCTTTCTTGAATGGACATTTTTTCTCTCTCACACTTCTTTACCTTCTATAGAACAGATAGACCGAGTCACTTCACTTAAGTTTTTAATTCCTACCTGCTAACCTTCATAATTACATTTACTTCTGAAATGCCTTATAGCATCTTGTCATCTTCCTCCCCTCAGCCCCAGAGATTTAAATCAGGTAGATTCTTATATCAAGAAGTGTTCAGCTTCTTCTATAGAAAGTCATGATTTATTACAACATATTGCTATAACTGCTTTGCCAGTTCATCCACTGTGAGTCCACTGACTCTCCTCTCTAGTGTGCATCTATCTACATTTTGTGTTGATATAACAGAATACCTGAGAGTGGGTAATATAAAGAAAATAATTTTACTTGGCTCGTGATTCTGAGGTTGCAGAGTCCAACATCGGGTAGCCCCCTTTGGTTGAGGGTCTTGTGCTCCATCAACTCAAGGCAGAAAATGGAAGGAAGCCAGCATGTGCAAAGAGAAGGAACAACCCACTCTTTGAATAATGAATCCAATCCCTCGAGAGCAAGAACTCAACTCCTGCAAGATGGCATACGTAGTTTGTTTGTTTATTTATTTATTTGGAGACAGAGTCTCTGTTGCCAGGCGCCAGGCTGAAGTGCAGTGGCGTAATCTTGGCTCACTGCAACCTCTGCCTCCCGGGTTCAAGTATTTCTCCTGCCTCAGCCTCCCGAGCAGCTGGGACTACAGACATGCGCCACCACACCCAGCTAATTTTTGTATTTTAGTAGAGATGGGGTTTTTCTATGTTGGCCAGGATGGTCTTGATCTCTTGATCTTGAGATCCGCCAGCCTTGGCCTCCCAAAGTACTGGGATTACAAACATGAGCCACCGCGCCCGGCTAAGATGGCATAGTTTATTTATTGGGTATCCCTCCCATGACCCAAACACCTTTGACTAGGCCCCACCCACTAACACCACCACATCGGAAATCAGATTTCAACATGAGTTTTGGTGGAGACAGACCACATCCAAATCATAGGAGCATGCATCAAATGTTTTTGATTTGTATGCTCTGAATAGTTTGTGGTGTTCAATTCATAGGTTTAGCGCATAATCTCCAAAAGGGAAATTGTAATAACTTCTAACTTGTAATTGAACTCAAACCAGTATAAACAGGCTTATTACTTAAAAAAAAAAGTTTTAGTAAGAAGTGGTAGTTGAGTGTTTTAAGCTGTATCAATTGGATGAAATGAAGTGGAAGAAATGGTTTAGAAGTATTAAATTGCTGAATTTATAGAAATGACTTATGTACTGCATGAAAAGGAAGGTATTTGAAAAAGATGCCTGATGTATGATAAAGCAATTTAGCATTATTTCAGTCAGCCCTGAGATTGATTTATAGGTTAATACTTTAAAGGCATACCATTGCTTTAATAGTGATGGTGCAGCAGAAGACATTCCTAGGAATTTACCTATTGTTAAAACAAAGATTTCTATTGGAAGACATATTAAGTCATTTTCTTTGCAAAGTGTAACTGTGTTTGGAAAGGAAATAAAAATATGAATAAAATGTGTTTTAGATTATGTCATCAAAAGGTGGAATGTAATGTTCTTGTTCACAGATTTAAAGAAACATTTCATGTGTATTTGAACTTAGAAGTTTTGGAGGCTGAAGGCATGTGCTAGGCAGACATTGTTTTTCTTTTCATTCATTCAAGGCTCCGTATGACATCTATGTCAGGCTGACAAATTCACATGTGTTACAGAGTTCAGTCATAAGGCCAGGTGTACAACCGTTAGCTAACTGGAGGTGTGAGCATTAAGAAGTGCAATAATCTGTTCTCACATCTCTCTCTGTATTGTGTGGTCAGTGGAGGCTGTACAAGTGTAGATGTGGAAAGTTTGTGGACAGGAAGCGGGATAGGTATTGAAAGACACTTCTGGCACTGATGGGAGACTGTTTAAGTGGAAAGTAACTTCAAACAGTAGTGCCAGGATGGTGTGATTTACATTTGGCCCAGGTTCACCTTAGTTCTTTGGGAGTACTAATTTTTCTCACTGTGGTAATTGTAATTGGCCTTCAGAATGGATCTTTTTTTTTTTAAAACAGAGAAGTGAACACTGGATTGCATTTTTTACTTTTGAGATAAATTTTGGTAAACAAGTTTTTATTCTTTCCATGTGTAAAACTGCCTGCTTAATGGTTAAAGTCTCCTTATGCTTTAATGTAAACATTTGTTATCAAAGGTGTGCAACAGCCTGATAGTAAAAACAGATGCACAGATAATACCAAGTTACCACTGAGATCTGAGACTATTCATAAGGTGCATTTAGTTTTGAATTATTGTGTACATTAACCTGTGTATATAACCAGTATTAGGGGCAGAGTCCTATTGGTACAGATAACATTGGCTACCAATTTTCTTATATAACAAAGTACAGGCTTTTTAGCCACAGTATCTCTACTCATATTTAGGCAATTTTAATAGTTTAAGAATTGACCTATTTATTTGACGTGCATTTGAATTCTTATAACTGTAGTATGCCAGTAACTTTGGCAGTAGCTTTGTATGCAGCTCCTCTCTTCAAGCCTCTTGGGACCCTGCCTCTGTCCTTGACTGTCAGATTCTCAAAAACTTTACCTAGGACACAAGCAAACCTGAGTTGAGTAGTTTGCCTTTCCCTTTTTCCTTTCTTGAGGGTGGGGAGAAACTACTTTGTTAGACAGAAGTCACTTATCTCATTTTTTTCTGCCATTTTATGGATTTTACCCTCCTCCTACAGAATACAGTTTTGACTATTCAAGACCAAATTGTTTACTTTCAGGGTAGCTTTATTATTCCAGCCTAATACTGCACTCTCTACTGCATTTATGATACAAACTTGCTTGTTTGAAAGGGTGTCAAAAGAATGAGTGTGTGGTTCCCGAGATTTAGCTACTCAGATGTGTTTGGGGACAACAGGAGCTGGGTTAAATCTAGGCGGAATGAACTTGGGGGAATGTCTAGTGTTTTGAGGAGAGGCTGTGCGAAACAAAATGCTGTTTTCTGAGAAGCTTGTTAGGAGAGCTGTCCCTAAGCCAAGTAGTTGTCTACTGGGATTTTACATTTCTAGAATCTCCTTGTGGGTAGCTGTTTAAAATACCTTTGTTTAGGTGGACCCTATCTCCCACCCATTAAGTCTGTGTTCCTGTTAAGGAAACAACATTTCTCTCATTTGAACTTAGGAGATTTAGAGGCCGAAGGCATTTACTAAGCAGTCATTGATTTGCTTTTAATTAATTCATTCAAAGACTCCATATGACACTTGTGTCAGGGTAACAGAACTCCGTTTGTGACGTGGTTTAGGCTGGACCAGAGCATCATTGTTCTTTTAAAAGCTCCCCGGCTGATCTAATGTGCAGTCAGAATTTTGGTCCACTGATCTCTAGGACAAGAATGGTTGAGAATCACTGATGTGACCTGGTGGCTTTGTCTCCCAAGTTGCTTCTTTCCTTAGCAGTGTGTACATATTTTGTTTAATCTTCAAGTAAATTTTAAATTCTAATTAGATAGTACAATAGTGCAGTATAGGGGTTCATAGTAGCTGAGTTACATACATGATCCCTAAGTAACGGTGCTGATCTGGCTCCTTATCTTCAGTTCCTGCCTCATCTTGTAGGACCCAGTCTTTTCACCTTAGCCACCCTAGTCGTCTTTTAGCATTAACTAATAGTATATGACTTTTCTTCCACAGGGCCATTTTCCATGTTTTTCCTGACTGAGACCACCCATCCCTGGCTGTCCCCTACCCCACCCCTGGCTCAGACGTGGCCACATATTTTGAAAAAGCTCTTGATGTTCCTTTGGAACGCTTCCCTTACTTGCAATTTTCTATCCATGTGTGTGATTATTTGCTTGTTTGGGTCCCTTATTAGACCAAGCTTTTTAGATCTGCCTATTCTTATCCACCATTGTATTTCTAGCATCTTCTCAGTGCCTGAAGTACAGCAGATGTTGAATGGATGAATAAATGAAAGTGCAAGATAAAACTAGACAAATTCAATTAGTTGTATATGTCTATAGAACCGAACAGGAGAGCAATGCAATAATAATGTAAAAGCTTCTGGGGCTGGAGAAATTGTAATGGACAGGAATAGTCAGGGAAAGCTGTAAATTGGCGGTAGAGGTAGGGAAGAGGGTAATGGCTGTCAGGTTTGGGGGTGAGAAATAGTGGGAAAATGGATAAAGTAACCAGACCTATTTGTTTAGAGTATAGGGATCTTGCTGGGGAAAGGCAGACATTAAATTGGTATCAAATTTAGGGGTTTAGGCTTTAGTTGAAAGACATTGAGGGTCTTAGAGGAAGAATCAAAGCAGTATTGTTAAAAGATGAATTTAACATTTAGGGTAGAGGCTAAAGTGGGAACGGTAAGGAAGGAACTGGAAGCACTATGTGTGAGAAATTAGTAGAATGTGGGTTTTATCTTGGCTTCCTGGAGCATAGTTTTGAGGAACCTGGAGCCCAATTTGGACTCTGCCGTGCCTCCAGTGGGTTTAGGAGGGAGAGCATTTATTTGTGCTTGGGTATTTGTCATCTCTGGGCTTTTGAGAAATGACTGAGGATGAATGGTAAGGCCGATGTGGGAAATCTTGTGGAGAAGAAATAGCCAGTGTTTATAAAGGGTGGTGGTTTTTTAGAGGAATTGTTATCAAATGATAATTAATGCTTATAGTAGCAAAATTTAGTGACACAGAGTAGTTTGCATATCTTTGGGTTAATCTTTTTTTAAAAAAAAACCAAAAAGGATAATCCAAACCTTTTTAAAGTTCTAAATTGGCAGACACTTTTTCATTCTTTTGATTGTTTATTAATAGCAGATGAATCCCAGGACAAATTTTTAGTATTTTAGAAATGTATTTTCATGTATTTATGAACATTAATTCCAGGATATTTATATGAATTTTATAAGGAATACAGTGTTACAAGATTATTTTAAAAAAGCAAGACTACTGTATCCAGAAGTTAGCAGACACTATAATGGCAGTAAACCTTTTGGCAAATCACTTAGTATTTACATTTCATTTGTGAAATACAGTAGTCCACCATATCTGCAATTTCATTTACCACAGTTTGTTACCCACTGTCAACTTCTAACCAAAAATAGGTGAGTACAATGAGATATTTTGAGGTTAAGAAGAGAGGGCGACATATACCATGTTAACATAATTTTTATTACAGTGTATTGTTACAGTTGCTCTGTTTTAATATTGTTAGTTTTGCTGTCTCTGATTTGTAAGTTAAACTTTATCATAAGTACGTAGATGTAGGAAAAAGCATAGTGTGTAGGGTTCAGTACTATCTGAAGTTTCAGGCATCCTCTGGGGGACTTGGAACATATCCTCCACAGATAAAAACGAAATTGAACTAAACATACTCTAAGTGGGAAGAGGCAACAACATGGTTGCCCACTGTTATCTGGACTTATCCAACAGCTTAAAAGAAAACATATCCTAATAAAGGAAAAATGGTGAGCATGATAGGCGCTTTTTAATTTTTTTTATTGTTCCTGTTTTTAATTGTGCTGGGAGTAAGATGCATGAGGATTTATCAGTGTTCTTTGCTAATGACTAGCCTTGTAGGAAGCCTAAGCCTATTTAGTGGCTAAGCTCATCCGAGAGCAATGTCAAAGCCAGAATATCCGTGGCAGTATCTTGAAGGCTGTGATCTGGTGGGCACCTGGTCTGAAAATTTTCCATGCAAAGGTTACCTTAAATGACCTGTGATGTACAACTTAGGTGAGTCAGTTTAGCATTGGTACATATGCTGAGGTAAACCCTCCAAATATCTAATGACTTTGCCTACAGCGATCTCTACTATTTACCCCACAGTGGGGCAGGATGGCCTGACCTGATTCAAGTTCCTTAATTTTTGCCATCCTTCAGCACCTATCTCTATACCTGGTTTCTAATATCTAGACCCCTTAGGAAATGCCTCCTCTACTCCTTTCTATTCACCTTCTTCCCAAAAGTGGCAAAAAAATTTGCATTTAAGGAAGATTAGAAGCAATTTAGTCCCCTTTCCCCAAGGTTCTCTTTCCTGAGGGACCAAATGGAGCTAGGCTGTTAAACCCAGGAGAGTGTCAGGGATCCTGTCTTGTCTTACCTTAAGAAACTCATTTGCTTTGCTGGCTTATCCTGTGCCCCCATCCTTAATTCATCCCCCTCCTGTCCTTTTTCACCAGAGCTACCTGGAGTTCAGGCAGCCATAGCAAACATGCTGTATATTTGTTCTTTTTCCTAGTCCTAATTTTCTCCTAATAAGCACATTTAAAAATTTGTTTCGTTTCCACTCTTTACTGTGAAACATTTAGGTGTTTCCTATCCCTGTCTTCAACCCACATTAAAGTAATATATAGAATAGGTTTATTGGAAGGGAGTTGATTAGCCATGGTACAGTGCTTAGTTTACTAAAAACTGAATTTTTTAAAACGTAAGATTTCTTAAAACAATGAGTTTTCCTAAGGTATTTACTATTTCAGTTTTTGAAGAATCTTTCTTTAGTGTGGATCCTATGTAAAGTACATGCACAGCTTTAGGCTAAGTATGTCTGAAATTTTGAAGACTTTAAACAATTTATCAATGTATATTGTAGTTAGACTCAAGCTGGATCTGTTATCAGGTGTCAAATATAGGATAATGTTTCCAGCTACCAAGTATAGCCAGGCAAATTCAAGACTATGTATAATTTCACAGTGAGCACCCAGCTCTCCATTTGTGGCAGATACAGCTTAATCCTGTTATTTTTCCTATGGGAGTATTCAGGGTCATAGATTGGCCCACTAGACTGATTTCAAGTGCTTTCAGTGATATTTTTACTTGAGAAAGGACATTTAATGGGAAGCTTTCATTGGGGAAAAAAGAATTTTACCGACAAGATTAATGGATCTATAATTTTAGAGACAGAGACAAAACACTGTTTTAAGGCAAATTAAACAGGGGGACTGGCATTCACTTCAGAAAACATTTCACTGGGTTCTTGGAAAGAAAAATTTTCCTAATATGAGAACCTAAGCAGTGGAACATTTTCCAGACCAAAATTTCTTCTTGTCGTTCAAAGGTTTCAGATATAATAAATTATAGCCCCATCATGAAGAGTCTGAATGCCAGAGAAAACAAATGATGGGGCCAGGATCACACAGCTAGTTACAGTGCATGAGGGCTAGACGTTTGTCACTTCACCACTGTACTGCTATGAGGGTTAATTTAATCAGATTAACTTCATTCCAAGCATCCAGTTTATAGAGCTATGTGCTCCATTAAAAAAAAAAAAAAAAGTTATAAAGCCTGTAACTTGAGGAGTTTTAAAACCAAAGGATCTGATAATGGCAGTAGTCAAAGGTAAATTGTATACTTGTTTGCTTACATGGGTAACCAATATGTCAGCCTTACTACTCAAACCCCTTACTTGCTTGATGATAGATTTGCTAGGAACATTACCACCACCACCCCTGTCTTAGTCCATTCAGGCTGCTATAACAAAATATCATGGACTGGATAGTTTATATGCAATAGGAATTTCTTTCTCACAGTTCTGAAGGCTGGGAAGTCCAAGATCAGGGTGCTGGCAGATTGATTCAGTACCTGGTTCATTGCAACTTTTTGGCAGTTCTTACGTGCTGTAAGGAGAAAGGGGCCTCTCTATAAGAGCACTAATCCTATTCATGAGACCTGTGGCTTAACTACCTTCCGAAGGCCCCACTACCTAATATCATCACCTTGGGGATTAGGATTTCAGTGTATAAGTTGTGGGCGCGGGGAAGGACACAAATGTTCAGATCTCAGTAAGTCCCTTTTCCCCCAATATCCTAACTGAAACAGATGTGCATTTTTTCCAGTTTGACAGGGTTGTGTGTCATCATTCTTTAGGGCTATGTGGTTGAGTGGATACCAAATACTGCTAACTTGGGAAGAGCGAACCTTGTTCTCATGAAAAATCAAAGTTTGCCATTCCACATAGCCTCCTGTCATTTAGACTCTGGTTGCCTTACCCTCTGTATTTTTGGGGCCTGGGAACTTAGGGTGGTTTTTCTAGTTGTAAATGGTTGTTGCGTACATGTCTCCGTAATAGTCTTGATTTTGTTTCTTTGCCTACAACGCCTAAAATAGTTATTGTCAGACCCTTTACAGAAAAAATCGGCTGATCCTCGGTCTAAATACAATACATGATTGGGCATAGAGCCTCATGCTTGTAATCCCAGCACTTTGGGAGGCCAAGGTGGGTGGATCACTTGAGGGCAGGAGTTCGAGGCCTGCCTGGCCAACATGGTAAAACCCTGGTCTCTACTAAAAAATACAAAAAATTATCCAGACGTGGTGGCAGGCACCTGTAATTCCAGCTACTCTGGAAGCTGAGGCAGGAGAATTGCTAGAACCTGGGAGGCGGAGGTTGCAGTAAGCTAGGGCCATGCCAGCCTGGTCACCAAGTGTGAAACTCAATCTCAAAAACACACACATGTGTGCGGGTGCGTGTACACACACACACACACACACACACACACACACACACACACACACACACACACACAAAGGAAGACAACACATAATTGTTTTTAAAAAGCTAAAGATTTTTTGTTTTGTTTTTGTTTTTTGAGACAGAGTCTCTATCAACCAGCTTGGAGTGTAGTGGTGTGATCTTGGTTCACTGCAGCCTCCACCTCCTGGGCAAACAGTCTTCCCACCCCAGCCTCCTGAGTAGCTGGGACTGCAGGCACGCCACCACGCCACCTGACTGCTTGGTATTTTTGGTAGAGACCAAAACAACCAGTAGAGGGTTTCGCCATGTTGTCCAGGCTGATCTCAAACTCCTGGCCTCAGGAAATCTGCTGGCCTCAGCCTCCCAAAGTGCTGGGATTACAGGTGTGAGCCTATTGACAAAATTTGACTACTAAGGTCAAATTTGGGTTACTTATGTTTATTAAGATTCACTTCTGGCTGCCTCAAATTAAGCATTATTCCCTCTAGTGTGTTTCTGATCAGAATTTATAGCTTTACATAAAGGTCTTGGAGAAAATAGTAGATACATCGTAACCTAGAACATGCATCCTCTTTGCTTGGGATTTACTTTATTTAAAAAATTATTGAATGTTTTGGGGGCGTGGAAAGTTCATGTCTGTGTATTGTCTATTGCTGTGTAACAAATTACCCTGAAATTAGCCACTTTAATCCCATCTCACACAAATTGTTGAGTCAGGAATCTGAGAGTGGCTGAGCTGGATGGTTCTGGCTCAGATTTCCTAATGAAGCTATAACAAAATGTTGGTTGGGGCTGCAGTCACCTGAAGGCTTGGCTGGGGCTGGCGTATCTGCTCTTTAAGATGAATCACTTACATAACTTTGCTGAAGACCTCAGTTCCTTGCTGGTTGTTAGCAGGCAAGTCTTAATTGTTTACTATATGAACCTCTCCATAAGGTTTTATGAGTGTTCTCATGGTGGGACTGCTAGCCTCCACCAGTGACCTGAGGGACAGCAAGGTAGAAGCCAGGATTTCTTTTGTATTCTGATCTGAGAAGTTACTTACCTCATATTGTTTGTTAGCCATGATTCTTTAAGTCTAGCCCTACAGTCAAGGAGAAAAGAATTAGGCTCCCTATTTTCTTTTTTTAAGGGAGGAGTATAAAAAAATTTATGGATAAATTTTAGAAGCTCCATAATCTATTTCAATGGTAGTGCTGGTAGTGGTAGTGGTAGTGGCAGTGGGATGTAGTATGTGCATTAAAAGATATTAATGGATTGTATTTTTTTAGGGGTGTTATGTTTTTTAGGCATTACATATAGTAAGTCTTGGTGAATTTTCTAGGCAGGCAGCAGAAGGGAGGCACATGAGCATGTATATTTTGGGTGAAATTAGAAGTGTTTATTTGGATGGTGTGTGTATTTTTTGTTGGTATCTGGGGTGTGTGTGTGTGTGTTTAAAAGGCATGTGCATTTGAGGGGTATGTGCACTTGTGTGGGCGGATAGATTGCTTGAGGGGCATGGACAGAGGTATGTTAGTGTGTATATGTACGTACCTGTCTCAAGGGTGAGTGCGTGCTGGTGTTTCTGAGATGAGGTTGGGTAGGGTGACACTGGGATGCTGTGTTATCTGGAAGGAAAGTTGATTGGTGGGAAAGAATAGACTCCCCACTGTCATTCAGGTGGGTTAGGATTTCATTTGGAGGCCCCTGGTAGAGGCTATATTTCTTCTTTTGGGAGCTGCTTTTGTCCTGAACCGGGACTATTTCAATACAAACACAAACATATATGTACATACATCATACACATGTGAATTTTATATGGATGACTTCGCTGCACAAGCCGGTGGAATGCATCTCACCCAAGCCACCCCATTAACTCAAGTATTTGCTTGAGGTATCTCTGGACTCAATTTTCATGTTTCCAAATTGGCCCAGTGAATTTATGAAGGAGACTGATTAATACACAAAGACTTATTCCCTCCTTTTGGAACATAACCCAGACCATCTCTATTCTGAGAAGAGTTTAAAGAGTGGATTTTAAAATCAGGCTATTGGTCAGGTGTCACCAGGGGAAGGAAAGAAACACAGTGGCGATTGATCCTACAGTACCAGTTGTTGACGCTCTTCCTTACTCTTCAAAATATTATTTTCCAGAGGCTTGGGTTTTAAAAGAAAGAGTAAAAACTGTAGTTCTCGATCATGAAGTACTTAAGATTTAGTTAAGGAATTAAATACATAAGCAAAAACTGAATTTAAGAATATACAAGCAAGTTTAAAATTA